ACAAACATTGATGCTTATTTTCACAAGCTTAAGGCAAAAATGAGTAACCATCTCCTGTGATTTCTTGAGGACTGGTAGTATTCTCCACTGTGCAAATCACAAAATGCAGAAAGCTTTTGCCCTTTGAACTTTAGCCTACAAGTCATAAAAATGACAGGATTTGGAATAAAAGGAAAATATTTTGGGTGATTTAGTGCTTGCTCCCTGCTTATGGGTGCCAGAGAAAATAGCTCTGGAGTGTACAGATAACTTTACTAGCATGAGAATTTGGAGAAGTGTGGTCCTATGGAGCATAATGGTGTTGTGAATTGCTACCGCTTCTCCCTAGTTATACGTTAGGGGCAGCACAATGGTGTATGAAACCAGATTCTTTCAGTTTGAAGGTGTACTGGGTTTGCGTCGCAAGGTTTTGGTAGCCAGGAGGCTATGGGGGTGGCTTCTGTGAGAAGCTGCCAGAAGCTTCCCCCATGTCCGACAGAGCCAGTCCCAGCCGGCTCCAGGATAGACCCACCGCTGGCCAAGGCCAAGCCCATCAGCGATGGTGGTAGCTCCTCTGGGACAACATATTTGAGAAGGGGAGAAAAACTGCAGCGGGTTAGAGGAGTGAGACCATGTGAGAGACACAACTCTGCAGACACCAAGGCCAGTGAAGCAGGAGGAGGTACTCCAGGTGCCAGAGCAGAGATTCCCCTGCAGTCCGTGGAAAAGACCATGGTGAGGCAGGCTGTCCCCCTGCAGTCCGTGGTGGAGCAGATATCCACCTGCAGCCCATTGAGGGGACTCCACGCCAGAGCAGGTGGCTGCCTGAAGGAGGCTGTGACCCCATGGGGAGCCTGAGCTGAAGCAGGCCCCTGGCAGGACCTATGCACCCATGGTGGACCCACGCTGGAGCAGCCTGTTCCTGAAGGACTGCACCCCGTGGGAAGGACCCACGCTGTGGCAGTTCGTGGGGGGGAAGGTATTTTAAGATTTTGATTGATAATAAATTAAACTAATTTCCCCAAGATGAGTCTGTTTTGCCCATGACAGTAATTGGCGAGTGATCACTCCCTATCTTTACCTTGACCCACAAGGCTTTCATCATGTTTCCTCTCCCCTGCCCAGCTGAGGAGGGGAGTGATGGAGAGGCTTTGGTGGGCACCTGATGTCCAGCTGGGCTAAACCGTGACAGAAGGCTTGTTAACCAAATTCAGAAATAACTCACCTTTGCTAACAATTGCATATTAATTTAGAGAAAAATTGGATTTCTAAATCCAAGAAGGACCTTAAACTTTTGCTCCCTAAATCTACCAGCCTGGGGCCTAAGGAGATTTTGTTGAGACCAGCCCCGAGAAGCAGCTGTTAGATTCAGCCCTGACTTCTTGGAGACAACGGCATGATGGAGCTTAAAGAGGAATAACAGAAGCCAGCAGCATCTGCGTAATCTCTCCCCTCCTGCTGTGATACAAGGAACTTCAAATTAGAAATAGCTGCAGAGAGCACGGTTGTGGCTTAACATTTCAGGTCTAAGACTGCAGCCTTTCAGAAAAACCCTCTTCACCCACGCACTAGATGCCTCTCAAAAAGCCTCCAGCAAATAGCTTGGCCAGCAGGTTTGCTTAGTCTTCCATCCCAGGCACACCTGTGCTTACCTGGGAGCCACCAGCTCCTCCTGCTGTAAAGCAATGGGAATAGAGCCATGCAGGCAAAATGTGAGTGCTGCTTTTGTTACCATCCAAACACAGCCTCTCGTGGGTCAGAACGGTATTTGACGTAGCCAGAGCGGGCATGGGAAACCTGTACTTCAAAGGAAATGGCCGTGTTTTCAATCGCTTGTAATTTCATCAGACTTCAGGACAGTTGTGCTGAAATTCTCCACACCAGGTCCTTGCCTCAGGTGGAATTTGTGTAAAATGTGTCTGATCAGATAGAGGATTTGCAGTGTCAATCCCATGGCAAACTGGGGCTCAGCTCTCTCGGTCGCGGGCGTGGACGATGCTGGCGTATCTTGAAAAAAGCGTGGTGTCAGCTCAGAGGCATCCATGTGACGAATTTTCAGGTGGAACAGATTTTTGTGGAAAAAGTAATGACGTATCTGCCTTCAGATGCAGTGGGCAGTTGGAGATAACTATTCTAGAGGCAAATTTAGACTCTATCTTACAGCAATGGCTCAATCAGAGGTCTAAGAAAGGTGAATGATGAGGAAAGATTTGAAGAATTCTACTTGTTTCTACTAGAAAAAAGACAAATGACTGGGGATCTTGTAGGCCTTCAGTTGTGTGCACAGTGCTGTAGTTTGGAAAGGCATAAAATACTGCACCAAGGGGGTGTTTTGGGTGGACTTTGCAAAAAAAATCCCAGTAACAAAGACAAGAGAACACTGGCCTAGGTGACAGGGTGTTAGGACTAAGCTAAATGTAGGCTGGGCTTGTCTCAGTGAAGGAATAGGGTTAAATGCCCACACCAGGGATATGCCAGTTATTTTCCCAGTAACTCTCTGGTAGTTCAGCAAAAGGCAGGAATGAGGGGATGACACAACCGAGTATGCAGTCATCCTATGCTGATTTCAACAAGATATGGTAAAAATTATATTACACCCCCCCCAATTATATCCTTCTTCCAAACTTACAAGAAACAATAAATTCAAAAGATTCCTTCATATGGGGGGGGGAGAAGATGAAAGCATTGCTGTTTCCTCTTACAGTCTTCAAGGAAATCAGAGTTCAGTGAGTCGCACGAGAAATGAGCTCAGTGAGATGTGTGTAGGGAGCAATCTAGGCAAATAATTGGCGATGACAGAATTAAAAATAGAGTCATTAAAGATAGATGACTTTTAATGGAGCCAGAGCAATGAGATAAAGGGATCTTTTTTGTGAGGCTTTTCCTACATGGGTAATCATAAATACGTAAAAGCTGGGCTGGCTGGTAGGCTACTTCGTTCACTGTCCAGTCACATAGGAAGATGAATTGAAAATCATCTTTTTCCTCCAGTCAAATGTGAAACTTCAGCCTCTCTAAATCCACCAGGACAATGCAGAAATGGTTGTTCCAGGTGAGTGTTCGGCCCAGTAATAACTAATCCAGGCTAGTTCTCCCCGTTTTCCACAAATGCGATTCTCCGGGTGAATAGAACATCAGTCGGGCAGCTTCAGGAATTTGAATAGTCGGGGCAGGGCTGCAGGTCATCTGGGAGAGCAGGTAAGGAGAGGCTTTACTGGGAAGCAGCGCAAGGACTAACACACTTCTCCAGCCGTGGTTTAGCAGCCATCACGAGGAGAGGACAGGATTCACCAAGGACAGGAAAGTCCCACCCTAACTCAGGCACAGCTGAAAAAGCAATCTGATGCTAGCTTAGCGTCCCAGGAAAGGATGGCGCAAGGGTTGCTTTCCGGGCAGCAGGAACAGGGGAATACAGCCAGCATCAGGAGGCAAGCACAGAGACCGTGCTGGGGCTGGGGTCCGGGCCAGCTCCCAGGGGGTCATTCCAGTCTGACGTCCTCCGCTCCCTCTGCACTTGAAGTTACGCGTCCTCTCCTAAGCAGCTGTTATTTCTCCAGTGGGGGATGAGGTTCAGAAACAAGAAGTGGCCGTGGCTCATCAACTTTCCGCCAGCGAAGCATCCTTAATGAATGTTTTCAAGGCACAGCAAGAGCCTCAGGGCACTGTAATGCATTTTCAGATGTCGAAGGAAAAAAAAAACAAGAACAATGTTCTTATGGCTTTACATTTGAAACACTTGCAAACAGGAGGCTCAGGATTCAGCTGGGTAGAAAACACTGGTATGCAGAGCCACACGTTGCACTGTTGGGACCCAGCATCCTGAAGGTTGGTCTGGACAAGCCAGGGGGCCAGCCCAGAGGAGGGCAGGAAATCCCTGCAGGAGATGAGACAGAACAAAGGCAGGCTGACTAGGCTGGTAATCTGATTTTTTCCCAGGAGATGGCACTAAAGGACAATTGCCTTTCAGCCGCCATCATGCAATGCAGTGGAAAACTTTGCTGTCGGCCAAACTGTTTTTCAGGCAGTTTGCAGTGCCATCTTCTCAAGTCGCTCCTTGTTATCAGAACCAAAGCTTTACTCTTAGCATCTGTGCTTTTAGCAAGGGGTGAGGATATCCGTCTTTTACATCTCCATACAGTAGGCAAATTTAAACTTTCTGCTTACCGTG